CATGTATACCATAAAAGAAGAGGAAAGGTAAATTGGCAGAAGGAAAACTTTTTTGTGTGAAATTCAGATATATATAAAAATGATTTTAGAACTACCTTAGGTTGCTGTTTTTCAGTTTGTTAACTTTACATTTAGAATATGGAATCAGGGTGTCCCGTACATAAATGTCAGTGCAAGTGTATTTGTCATCTCTATGACACATTTATGTGACTTCCAAATTTAAAATAATGATTAATTTTACAAAAATTACTATTTAATGGCTATTGCAAATCTTTTCAAGAAAAAAAATTGATAGGTTCAGCTAATTATGAAAATGTGATACTTACAATGCCACATTGGCTCATTTAGTGTGATCTTGTGCTGCAGCGATTTCTTGTCAGAGAAAAGTTATTTCACATATTACTTATGTTCCAGAAAACTCACTGATTTTTGTAATCTCATATTTCATTAAAATATATACCAGTGATTTGGAAGCTAAGAGGTCAGTGAAAATGGATATTGTGCATTTTTATGATTGGAAAATAATTAATGGTACAGGATTTGGAAGATGCCGATTTGCATCAATTGCCCAGTAAAGTGAAGAATTTACTTCTCTTTCTATAGTCAAATAAGTGTTTTAGGATTGGGAATCCCAACTGGGAGATCCATATGCTCATTAAAAATTTCATTTCCAACTTATTTTCCATAGCAAGTGAACTAAATATTAATAATTTAATTATATAATAGAATATACATTTAAGAGTGGCTTTGATTTGCACATGAGACATTTATGCCTTTATAGATTATTTTTCTTTTGTCTTCTTTCCTTTCTTTGTTTATTGTAATAAATAAAATGTTCTCTGGGATGCTCATTTGTGTGACTGAATGGGATTTGTTCTATTCTAGAGTGACCTACAATTGTGTAAATTTAGGAGATTTTTGGACCTATCATGGTTACTAGCAAGTATTTTTTAAGCTCAGTTTATGGTGATAATATTATGAACTATCCTAATTGGAAACAGTCCAACGATAAGATTTATTTCAATATATTATATATAGTCCTGCCCTTGAAATTGTGCAGCTATTCTAAAGTAAGATATGTCTGTGTGGAAAATGGCCAATATGATTAAGTTATGGCATTATTAAGCTATCAATAATGAATTAGTATAATTACCAAGTTGGAGTTTACATATGCTGTACTAAGTGAAACTATGTTCCTGGCCAAGTAACCATTTTTTAAAAAAAAATGCAAAAATGAAATACAGTAATAAATAGCTAACAAGGTAGGAAAAATATGCAGACATGGCTTCTAGCACTTTTTTTCCCAAATCTTTCATAAGTGTCCATAGGAGGTGATTGCATTGCCTTTTGTCTAATGCAATAATGCATTGCATATGTCTGTGTTCTTTTCTAGTATTGATCTTTGTGGTTTTGTGTATGTGTGCACCAGAGATAGGTTGCATGTATTCATTCAGGGTCATTTAACCAGAAAGGAAAAGGGTTTAGAAAGAAATGGTCATTAACTTTCTTACTGCCACTCAACTGCCTCTACTTTAGGGATGATCTGTTTAAATTTCCCAGTAGCCCTTGGCCCATTTTTTGAATTTGATATTTCTTTTTCTAGTTTCTCCTTCATCCCTACTCCAAATCTGATATCATTGGTCTAGAGCAGAGGTCCCCATCCTTTTGGGCACCAGGGACCGGTTCCGTGGAGAGAGTTTTTTCTGCAGACCGGAGGGGGTGTGGTTTTGTGTGCTGCCTGCATCCCGCAGATGGGGTTTTGCTTGTTTGTGCGGACCGGTTGCTGGCCTGCCATGGCCCTGTACCAGTCCACAGACCAGGGGTTGGGGACCCCTGGTTTAGAAAACCTTCAAAGCCCTTCCAACCTTATGATTCTAGTATATTTTTGAGATTGCTAGAATCCTGAGTCCTTTCACGTGAATTCCACTTATTTACCATGACAGGGAAAACAAGCAGGGTGTGGCTTCAACCCACTGAAGTAACTTATTAAGTTTCTGCTTTTGTATGTACAACTTTCTCCCCAGGGATTAATCGGGATATGTGCAAACAGAGCTGCATCCAGACAGAGGTGGAAGCAAAATGAGATACAAACAATATTCCAGTTAACAGACTGTCCCTGGGGATGGTGGGGCTTATATCATCATCTTGCCCTTTTCTGGCCACTGCTTTACAGACCTCTCTCTGTGTATGTGTACACATGTATGTGTACCTGTGAGAGTATAATCAGGGGTAGATGCTTATATGTTGTCTCTATGTACAGTAGTGGCCAAAATTGTGGAAATCTTTTGGGAAAAGTGTACATTTGAGGTTTGATGGCTAATAACACCACTTTTTTGGAGTAATACCATAAAATTATATATCAATGGAAAGATAATTTAATCAAGAATGTAATGCAACAAAGTTTGTTCAATTATCTGTATTCTATGAAAAGTTATAGCCAAATAACCCGAAAAAGGAAGCACAACTTGCTTAGGTTGATATCAGGTAGCTTTCCTTCATCTGATTTTAGCCAATGAGCATGAGTGTTTAGAGAGCCAATCAGGTGTCATCTTGTTTTGGCAATGAACCAATCAGATCACAGTAGGATTCAGTTATTGGTGTCATGTATTGAAGCTGAGAGGAGGACATTTGTCAATGGGTTATGTGATCACTATCAAGTTGGTTGGGTTTTTTTGTGTTCTTTCATTTAGTGAGCTTGTAAAATGTAATAAAATTAAAGTAATGGTGCAAAGAGTTTACTAGTCATCCAGAAAGCGATGTAAAATAGTATTATTAAGTGAGCAAGGCTACAGTTATAAAGAAATTAGAAGAAAAATTGGTGGAAGCTTAACTAAAGGTGGCATTTCTAAGTTTTTGAACAGGTATAAGGAGACTCAGTCACTACAAAATCACACTGGTAACGGCAGGAAAAGGTGCACAACAGCAAGTGATGATAGAAGAATTAAGAGACTGTGTCTACGTGACAGAAGAAAATCATCTGGATGTATACAAGATGAAATGGTGAAATGCAATGTGAAGTTGAGTGCAAAGACTGTTCGGCACAGACTGCAGGAATTTGGCCTAAAATCTAGAATTCCATGAAAAAAGCCACTTTTATCTCTCAAACAAAGGTTGAAAAGACTAAACTGGGCTAAAACCCACGTTACCTGGACAGAGGAACAATGGGACAGTGTTATTTGGAGTGATGAGACCAAGATCTCCCTGTTTGGTAGTGATGGCATAAAATACGAAGAATCAGAGAAGATTTGCATCCTGATTGCATTACATGTACCGTGAAATACCCAGTCAGTCTTATGATCTGGGGTTGTATGACATCAAAAGGTGTGGGCAGAATTTGTGGGATTAATGGGAATATAAATGGCCAAAAATACATTAATGAAATACTTGAACCCAAACTGAAGCCTTCCGCACATGATCTTTTCCAAGACAATAAAGCATTTATATTTCAACAGGATTCAGCTCCATGTCATGTTGCTGCTGTGTGTAAAAAGTGGTTTCAAGATAATCATATTCCACTGCTGGAATGGCCTGGGAATAATCCAGACCTTAACCCAATTGAAAATCTATGGAGCCGATTAAAGAAGCGACCCAGCAATAAAACCCAGTTAATAGAAGCAATCATTCAATCTTGGTTTCACATTATAACAGCTGCAGAACTAAAGGACTTGGTTCACTCCATGGGAAGACGTTGTAAGGCTGTAATTCATGCTAAAGGTTACCCAACTAAGTATTATCTGACATGGTGATAATTTTTGTATATCTTGTTTTTTCTATGGTGATCATTTTTGTATATCTCATTTTTTCTATGTGTTTCACTTCTCTTCCTTATAACTGCTATTCTGATAGCAAATCCTTAATAAAAGTTATTGCATTACATTCTTGATTAAATTATTTTTCCATTGATATATAATTTTATGGTACTACTCCAAAAAAAGTGGTGTTATTAGTCATCAAACCTCAAATGTACACTTTTCCCAAAAGGTTTCCACAATTTTGGCCACTACTGTATATGTGCATTTCTGCTTTCCCCCCATGCTAAGAAAGTTGATTTCTGTTTTCTTCTTATGTTCTATCATTTTGGGGGGACAGTAGGAAGATTACCTACACTTGGGTTTGTGTCATTACAGGTTGGAATGGGGGATTAAAATGGAGTATTTGGGGGTATTCCAAACAGCTGTCCAAATGCTTTTTCCCCAGGGATGCATTGGTTTTTTCCCCCCTTAATTTCTTCTGTATCCAAGCCATTCTCAAGCTCCATCTTACTTTTTCCAGCTCCTTTCCCCGCACCAGATTGGATCCTGTTCTCTTCAGTATCTGAAGAGTTGTCCTTCTAGCAGACCGGCATAGTCCTGACTCTCTTTACATCATTTATTTTTAATTTTCTTTTTGGTTAGGAAGAATAAAGATAGGTTTACTGAGTGAACTTTCTCTGAGCTACTTAATACCTAGAGATTTCTGTTGGGGAACTTTGACCAACCAGTTTGCAGAAATTTTGTTATGGGATGGGATACATAAAATAATTCAGTTGGTACTAAAAGATTTGTAATTGAGATACAAAAAAATTAATTTAAAAACAATTTTTAAAAGGGAGAAAGCCAGATCTACATAAATGCGACCATACTCATGACCCTTCTCTCCAAAAATGAAAGTTCCCATGCTCCTAATAGCAAAAACATAGACAGAATTGTGTTTCTTAGAATGTCCACAATTGCAGAAAGTTTGAGAAACATTACCTGTGCATACACCAAACCAGGGGAAGTGGCCAGAAAAGAAAGAGCCATACTATCTATGTTGTTTTTATCGTTCTGATTGGCTTTTTTAAACACCAGTGTCTTTTACTATTATTTTTACTTCTCTTTTTGTCAGCATTTTTTTAACATCACCCAGAGAAATTCAGTACTGTACCTTTACTGAATTCTGAGTGTTTAGAATTCTTATGGTTAGGAACAAATGCCATTATTTGCCACCGGTTGATTCGGATCTCTGCCTTTTTCTTACAGCTGACATACCTTCCACCTCCATGGGGTGAGTGCCACTCATCAGATTTTGGCCTGGAATTTTTCCCCATCTATAGCATCACTGCATGCAGGATCAGTTGTGAGACCCGCTACGTGGTAGAGAATTGCAATTGCAAAATGGTTCACATGCCAGGTAAGTCTTTTGAAATGAGTTCTGCCAAAACACAGAATGCATGTCGAAACTATCTTTGAACCTTCTAACGTATCTGGGGATAAATGGCTCTAGAGATAATTGTGGTTTGGCTTGTATCCACCCTTCAATCTCTTCTTTGAATTAGTAAGCCTCATATTCAGGTTATCACTGTAAGGGCTATTTTCAGTAACCAAGTCAGATGCTCTCTAGCACGCAGCACAAAGAATTCAAACCTTGATCACTCAGAAGTGGTTTCTACTGCTAATAATGTTATGTTCCTCAAAATACTGGTGTATTAATAGTAGAGGTTTGTTTTCTTTTAAGAACAATCTGAAGGTAATTGGAATAAACTTTTATAGCTAGATATAAAGAGCTTCTATGCCCAATAATTACAGAACTTAAGAAATATCTGCCTGGTTTTTTATTTCAAATCTTTTCCCTGCCTTCATTTTATTTGTTTGTAGAGATAAAGAGGCAAAAGCACTGTTTTTGTGCAAATCTGTATGCTTTAAACTATATATTTAAGGATAAGCCCTAATGCAGTGATGGCGAACCTTTTAGAGACCGAGTGCCCAAACTACAACCCAAAACCCAGTTATGCATCGTCGGGTGCAGAGTGGGTGTGGCCCATTGGGTGGGTGTGGCCCATTGGGTGGGCGTGGCCCATTGGGTGGGCATGGCTGCAGTGGTAATGGCAGACTGGGTGGAACTAAAAAGTTCAATCAATCAATTCTAACTTTGCAATATCTTTTTTTTTCCCGTGAGAAGTTGAAATTGACTGATTGATTGAACCTTTTTTTTTTGTACACGGCGACGGAGGCCTAAAGTGAAAAGGTTTTATAAAACCCAGCTGAAGGCCTAGGACTGAGGTGATGGCGCGCATGCCCACAGAGAGGGCTCTGAGTGCCGCCTCTGGCACCTGTGCCATAGGTTCGCTACCACTGCCCTAAAATTCATTTTAATAGTAACTTTATTCAAAGATTATAAATTATAATATTAAAAACTAATACACACTAAAAAAATTGAAGAATAAAAAGAAAAAGTAGAAGATACAGAAAAGAAAAAAGGAAAATATAGGAAGATAAATAAAAAAGGAAGAATATAGTAGAAAGAAGAGAAATGTATAAGTGATTATCCACCTTCACCACAACAATTATAAACAATTTTAGTAACTGATCACCTCATTTTAAAATACAACAAATGATCTCCTCTTCCTATATCCTTTCTCTTATCTATAAACAAGACCATAAAAGACTGCCTTTCCAATCTTGGTGTCAGCAAAAGTCCATTAAAGGTTACCAGAAATAACAACATATCTTGATCAACTAAATCAACTTTATATTCCTTCCTTTTACTTCTAACATTCTTAATTTTTAGTTCATTGAAATAATGTCATAGAATTTGATTTTTTTTTTAAAAAAATGTTCATTTTTTTCTTTTTCACAAGATTCTTAAAAACTCTTTTCTAAATCCAATATAGAAAAATTATCCAGGTCTCTCTCTTGGTTTATTTTGCATATTCCTTGTAATTATTAACACATAGGCTGGTTTCTATTTTTATGTCCAGTGTAATATCTTTCTTCTCATCATTCTCAGTCTTGATCTTGTTGGGTAGAATTTGCTCTTCTTCCATAACATCTTTTGGACACAATCTCCAGAGAGGCAGATGTCTCTATTGGCACTATTAAAACTAATTTCTGAGACCATTGTTCAAAAATATTTATTTGTCTAATTTTATCTCAGTTATCTAATTTCATATAATTTATCAAGTTTTATCTAATTTATATAACCACCGATCGCATAAGCAAGTGATTCTCACGATTTACAATAAAAACATCCTTTAATATGTCCAGTGTTAGAATATTTAGTTCCATTCTATAATGGAGTTCATATGTTTTTCTCCTTTAATTGTAATCTTTAAGTTCCTCTAGTGTCCAGTTTTTAAAATCTTATTTTTTTAAATCAAACCAAAAACATTTTTCCACAGTAAGCCTAATGAATTTGATGGGATTTATTTTAGATAAGCATTAAATGATGCAGTTATTTTTCTAACAATAGTCTTTGATTTCAGATAGGTGTTAATTGTGGCTGTTCATCTGCATGGATGCATAAAAATAGTTGCACACACGGTCACACATATATTCACACTCATACATATCTACATCTCCCAGATCTCTATAAACAGGGTAGCTTAAGTTTCGCAGACAGACTGAATGCAATTCATGCTTTCCTAATTCAAATCATGAATGTTGCAAACTCACCAAACAGTTGTAGACTGTTAGGATTCCAATCATTCTGAGAAATAAAACAAGAAGAGACATATGCACTCATCTTCTTCCATTATATTATTGTGACAGAGCCAACAAAGGAAGAAAAAAATTCAGGGAATGCAATATCCATCCCTGGAACATCACCCATGTGATCTCTAATTGCTATGTTTCCCTTAGGAATTTTGTTTGCCAATATGTGACTGAAACCTGATAGTGATTTTCCTAAGCGTTTTAGAAAGAAAACCATCATTTCTAAGCTTATAATAAAAATGACCCCCTTTTTATATATATATATGTATACAGGGGATGCTCCATTTTGTACACCGGAGCAGTATAAGGAGTGTGCAGAGCCTGCACTAGGTAAGTTCTGAAGGAATTTTCTCACCATCAGGATTGCTTATTTCTTCTAATCTAGGCTGATATTTCAAAAGGATCACATTTCAGACTGAGAATATATTGTTACAGAATATGTTACATGAGAATGAAAGTTCCTCTGCATACAAATAGAGGGTGTCTTGCACACAACCAAGCAAATATCAGCTGCCTCCTTGTAGATTGGCTTGTGCAAACCTTCCATAGCACATGGCATAACTCAGTCACAATGTAACTTGTTTTCCCAGAATTTGCAATTTCTGCCTGTGATGGCCCTTGGGAAAAACTGGGAAGAATGAAATTCTAAGTTCATGTTTAAATTTGCAGCATCCAAATTCAGTTTCTCTCCCTCAGTTAATTTAAGGAGGTGAACATTTTTGCCTTGAAATTCATTAGAAATGTGTAAAGAATTATCATCAAGTCAGAATTCAAAAGCAAAATTTTATTTTTGACATTTTAACTTTGTGAACACCTCTGGCAGCTGCAGTATTGATATGGTATTTATTCAAATTCATATCTCCCTTATTCTTCATTCTCCTATGGTATCTCTATTCATGTACTGGTTTGTTCCACAAGACAGATGATTTCTGGGGTAGGAAAAGAATGGATTAGGCACTCGTCAGTTCTGCTTACCACTCCTTTTGTTCCTTTGACCTTGGATCAGTGCATGTTGAACTCAAAATGGAGTGCTTTCAGCTTGGGCTATTTCAAATTTCAACTTGGCACATATTTGGAGTGATGAGGGCAACTGTTTCAAACTCAGCATTTAGCATTTTGAATGTAAATCTGATGTTTTTGAGTTTGATATGTATTAAACATGGAACAATTTGTGCATTTCTGTTTCATTTGTAAAGTTACATATAGCTGAGCATGGAGTATAATCTAAGGACATGTTTCCACATATTACTGCAAAAAAACCAGGGAAGGCAGAGGCTATTTCTGGCAGCAAGCTCACTGTCACTACAGCATATAAATTGGACTGTTAATAGACTTTTTAAAAGGAGGACAGAATTCATAATGGATTACCCCCATCAGTGGCTTTTTTTTAGCTATGATTGTTAACAATAGAACTTTAATGAATGTCTTTGGTGAACAGAAAAGAGAACAATAGTTTCCTAGTTATCTCTGCCATGAGTTAAATAAAACATTCTAGGGGCACTGGCCTAGCTATTATTGTGTGGGTATAAATCTGCCTTCTCCAAAAGCATATTCTTCCATTTCATGAGCATATATAACCCCTCTGGATATAGCCTGGGTAGGATCATGGGAATTATAGTCAACCACAACTGAAAGGCATCAAGTTAAATAATGCAGGTCTAGTTCAATCTTTCATCTAGGTCAGAAAAGTACTTCTTCCATCTACATGTGGGGGTATTGAATTTTACCAGTGACCCCATCTGGTTCTTACTTTGCCTTACAGTGCTTCTCGGTGAAAAGGGAAATGATTATTGTGAGTGCCAAACCCCATGCAATTTGACCCGTTACAACAAGGAGCTGTCCATGGTTAAGATCCCCAGCAAGACCTCAGCTAAATACCTTGAGAAGAAGTTTAACAAGTCAGAGAAATATATCTCGTACGTAATCCTGGTTTAAACAGGGGTGGAATAATCATCTTATTAAGTAAAGTAACCCAAAGGGAAGTTGTGTAATAACAAAACATATGGTGGTTATTGTCAAGTATCAGTTGGGATTAATTCATTTGGGATTCACTCAGGTATCAGTTTCCAGATTGGTTAGATTTCAAATTTCAGAACAATTATGTGTTACTTGCTACCAAGGCCACTGAATAAGCCACCCAACTGGATCTGGAATTAGAAATCCAATCAGTAAAAAATTAGGGTTTCCAGAGTATCAAACAAGGTTCAGTGCTAGAGGCAAGGGCCTAATCAAACACAGATAGAAGACACAATCTAAAGTCTCCAGTTAAAGATCAGGAGATCCAGAAGTAAGTACACAGTCAAAACAATCAATAAACTAGATTGATGAAAGATGCAAATATTCTGTTCTTGTAATATTCAGAAGAAATATATTGGAAGTCAGGATTTTACAGGACACTATATCTTGGGTTTGGTCCCTACAATCAATTATTGTGTTCTGGTAAGCTGTTTTTGCAATCAATATTCTTGAAACCAAGGAACTTTGCACAAATGGCCAAGTCAAAATCTCCAAACCCTACATCTAGACCATTGATAAAATTATTAGTATGGACCCTCCAGGTTCATTAGAGTCTGCACCTGACTATCAGTTGTTGAGAATAGCAATATATTCAAAGAATTACTGCCTTAAAGCCCTGCCTCCATATCATTGCTTATTATGGGAAACAGAAAGATGGACTATCTGTTCCAACCTGGTACACTCCAAATTTGGTAGGATGTAATTTTAAGAATTCTGTGAATTATAACCAGCGTATCTGGAAAGTGCCAGTCTTGAGAAGGGAGATCAAACCTAGTAAGGCATGGCTATTGTTTACCGGGACTTTGTGGCATCTTTCTTCTTCTCAGTCTCCAAGGGAATCAGGCTTGTCTACAAGCAGCTTTTATTCTTAATCACCTGCACATTTGGAACAAGTATTCAGGGGAAAATGGTAGATAAGACAAGAGTGAATATTCTGGTTATCAAGAAACTATAAGAGAGGAATGGGATATATGGGACCCTTTGTACCATTTGAATTATAACAGCAACTAAAATTCTCAGTGGTTTGATACAATGGAAATCATAGTCCAACAACACTGGATCTTGCATGTTCTTACTTACTCTCAAGGAATGAATTGCTTCCTCTTGATGTCCTCCTGGCTGCCTGTTTTCTTTCCTTAGGGAGAATATACTTGTACTGGATATATTCTTTGAAGCTCTTAACTATGAGACCATTGAGCAGAGGAAAGCCTATGAAGTGGCAGCATTACTTGGTGAGTAAATATTCTATGCATATACACAACACAATTGTAGTTTGTATGCAATGTGGAGCTTCAGCCCTATGAACTAATCTCAGGGATCTCCTGTCAATTGGTGAGAAGCAATAGAAAGCAGAAACAAAGCAACATGGGCACAGGAAGAGAGAAAGAGAGATAGACCCAACAAGCACTAAGAAATGCCCTAGGCTGCAATTGACTCTCCTTGTTACTTTGACCACTGAATAAATATGATCCAGAAGCCTTTAGCATCACTGGCCTACTCTGCTCTATAGGTAGTTCTCGAATTACAACCACAACTGAGACAAGAATTTCCATTATTAAGCAAGGTCAAATCATTGCAGTTGTTAAGTGAATCGCACAGATATTAAGCGGATGCAGGTTCCCCCAGTGACTTTGCATGTTGGAAGCCAGCTGCAAAGGTCACAAAGCAATTACATGACCCTGGCACTCTGCAATCATCATAAGAACTTAATGTTCACATGACTGTGGGATGCTATGATGGTTATAAGTGTGAGGACCCATTGCAAGTCAGTTTTTTCAGTGCTGTGGTAACTTTGAACAGTCGCTAAATAAATGGTTATAAATCAAGAACTACCTGTATTATTGTGAGGCTTCTATTCTGAGCTCATAAAAATCTGATTCCACCAGCTCAGAACGTAGTATGAATTCATGAAGTTTATGCCAATCTATGCAGGGAAAATAGGAAAATTGGAAAATGAAAATCTGCTTCCACCACTTTAAGTATTCAAGGTAAATCTATCTGTTAGGAGAGTATCAACCAGACCCGCTATTCTTATTTTCTCTGTTGGGCCTTATTCAGTTTTGATGTGAAACCTTCTTGAATTAAGGCACAATAAGGATTATTTGACTTGGCAAGGAGACTACGGTTCTCAGAAAATAATGAAATAATAAAGGAAAAAAATTAAACAAAAATAAAACAACATCATTTTTTGCCAAACAGGCAAAGAAAGGTGAGACTAGACTACATAACAGGGAAATTTCTTGCATCAGATCTTGGGCTTATATAAGGTTGCACCTATCGATTAAAAGAGTCATATCTCTGTGTTGCTATATTTGAAATATTTGATATTTGATATGGTATTCCATCAATATATCAAGTCTCTTCTCAGATCATCTGGCCCTTATTTAGGCATCCTAAGTATAGTATTGCATGTTTAATCATAGAACCAGTAACTGAAACAGTATTGAAGTAGATGAGAAAATATTGGTTGCCATGATAGAAGCTGTGGCTTACCATCCATGTACCTAATAAATACTGTCTTAGGAAGTCAAATCCCAAACCTTGCATGAAGTTTGGGTGAAAAGAAGACATTTTGGCTTGTATGTCCCAAAGCCTTTGTTAGTTGCATTTAACTATATCCCCTGTTGTCATGGAGATGTAAGCCTTTTACTTTCTAAACAATAAACAGAGAGATTCCTTCCTGTTTGTACAAAGATCAACTGTGATAATGGCAGAAAAAAGGGGGTGTATGTTTGTGTGCATACATTTCTACAACAGCTGTAGGGTTTTTTCTTTTACTACTTCTTTTCTTTCATTTTTTAAAATTTTTTGATACCTTATGGCAATCCTAGCATGGGTCTTTAGCCTGAGCACTGAAATCTTGCTTTGAAAATAGGCTCTTGACCTGTTAAAACCAGGCATTGTGTTCAAGCATCTGGCAGTTTAATTTAGTTTAATTCTTTATTCAGTAACCTGGGGAAGAGAGAAGTATTATAGGAATTAAGAGTAGGAATAGGAATGAACATTTCTGGAATGTTAGAGGAAGTAAAAGTTGAAAGTTTGATGAAGAGGATAACGGTGGCTTTGATTTTGCCCCAGGAGTCAATCGATGCAGAGTTTACACAGCTGTAGTTGGAAACCTAAAACCTGCATTACTCTGGATCTTGATTTTTTTTAAAAAAAAGTGGTCTATCCTGCTAATAAGGGATATATGATCTGGAGTTCCATGCAGCAGCAGCAGCAGGAAGAGGAGGAGGCATCTCTTTTTCTTTACAGCCAGCATAAAAATGCTTAATGTATATATTTAAGTTTACTTAACTGAGGGGGCTTATTTCTGGGTAGAGGCTCCCAGTCCAAGCAATTTACTTTGATGGGCAACAAAATGCAAGATTAAAATGTCCATTTCTGGTTTTCCCTCTTTCTTCCCTAGGTGATATTGGGGGTCAGATGGGTCTTTTTATTGGTGCTAGTATCCTCACTATTCTGGAAATATTTGACTATATTTATGAGGTAAGTTGCAGCTCTTTCCTTGAGGTAGCGAATAACATAGTCCAATGGCCATGTATTTTCATGCTGAGAGGATACAGGAACAGATTTCATCCATGGGTCTACTTTGACCCAATAATATAATAAGCTCTAGAATATATACATTTTGAAATCTTGAAGCACAAAATCTAATCATCAGATTTTACATTTCTTCTACAAGATTCAAAAATACCAAGGTTTAGAATATAAATTTGAGTCCAGAAGGATAGCACAAATCCTGATGCACACACTCACTGATTAAGGGGAGAGAGGTTGTAGCAGTATGTATTTTAACTAACACCCCCTCCCCGAGTAGGCTATTAAATACATATTTTATGTTAACATGTGTGTGTGTATGTTTGTATATGTATGTATGTATGTATGTATGTATGTATGTATGTATGTATGTATGTATGTATATACAGGGCTTTTTTTCTCATAGAACGCCCAGAACTGAGTTCCGGCACCTTTTTTGGATGGAACCTTGTAGGGTAGGCAAGGCGGGTTGTATGACGTGTGTGAGTTCCAGCACCTTCTAGTCCTATCACTCTCTTTCCTCCCATTGGGAAAGGCAAAGAAAGGAACAATGGGAGGAAAGAGAGCTATAGGATTAGAAGGCAGAGGAGGAGATGCCAGAAAATTAGAGCAACTACAGTTAGTTAGAACAGGCGGCCCCATCACACGATCAATGGGTAAAGCACGGAGTCAACTGGGTTTATAAGCAAACTCCCCACTCCAAACGCTTACTCTGATGACGCTGGTAGTGGACCAGTGAAAGCTAAGACAGCCAAGTTTTAGGTTTGTAAATAGTTGTTTTTATTGTTTTAACAATAAACAGCTGTTTTAAATTCATTCCAGAGTTCAAGGACTTTATACCATTACACACACACACACACACACACACATTCCAGTGGTTAAGCAAGACCACAGCCTAATGTTTTATCCGGTTTGGGATGAAGTGATGAAAACTTGAACCTATCTGAAGGATTAAACAGCTTGTATCTTTCCTTTGCTTTTCATCAGTTGGCATCAGAAAATTGCATCTGTCCAAAGGCAAGCAGAAAGAGAACAGGAAAAGGTATCCAGGGGCTCTAAGCAGCCTGTGGATTATCCACTCCTGCTTTGCAGAGTTGTTATAAGAAAGCATGTGCCTTTATAGGCTGGTAGCTGTTAACATTTGCTCACACTTGCTGATTAAGGGGAGAGGGGTTGAGCATGGATAGAAAGCATTACCACAACTGCTGCCTGTTTTCTAAGCTAACACTGCTGGTTTTGGGATGCTTTCCCCGCTTCTTCTGGATGCCCACCACTAGCAAGAGCAAATGACATGATTCTCATATTGGATTTCCCACATCTGAGCTACCAGGTTGTGTAGAGAGAAAAAGAAAGAGATAAAAACTGGCTCAGAGTTATCCCCATTAAGCTTCTGTTGCTGGGCTGAAGATTGGGTCTGGGTTTTCCTAATCCGCATGCAGCACCTTAATGGCAGCATCACACTGGCTGTCACACAGGATTCCTTTCTACACATTTGATCAGTGTAATTTTCTTATTATTGTCCACACTGAATAAAAGCATTTTCTACGTGGAGATGCTGGGAATTGAGCCTTTTATAAAAAGCAGGGATTCTTACGTTCAGAAGTAACCCATTTTCAAACCTCACAGTATTATTCTTGTGGAAGAGTTACATTGCTTAGGATCCTGCAGAAAAAGTATGATATAAATCTAACAAAAGAAGAAGGGAATAATAAATAAACCTTGGAAGGAAAAAGTGATTTGGTATCTTGGTTCCCACTTCTATGGCTGGCTCTCTCCAGTGTCTCCTCAAAAAGACACACTTTAGGATTGGGGTAAGATATACCAGTAGCCAAATGTCCTAACCTTATTGTATATAGCCAGCCAAAGGAAAAGTAGAATTTAAGCTAGCCTTTGGGCTGGCATGAATTTTTTTCCCTGCAAGCAAAGGCAGAAGAAACAAAAATGAATAAATACCAGTCCAAAAATTGTCTATTTGTTTTCAAGTCTTGTTCCTGGACTGCAGGTAGTTGGATGCTCAAGCATAGCACAGGGTAGGACCTCCCCAGTGCGTACAGGTTAGGGCCTATGGTATTAAACAAAGCAGTTTCTGGGAACAGATTAGAAAATCATAGCATGATTCACTTCGTTGAATTTGGCAAGACAATCTGTTTTGCATACAGGTTTGCCCTGCAACATCTGCCTTTCTCTGAGATAATTCAGATGCAGGGCTTTGAAACATGCCTCCCCTCCCCTTTTTTTCTAGTTAGATCAATATAATTGTCTCTGAAAAGTAATCCAAAGCTGAGATAATAATTGTTTGCTGAAAATTGCCCTCATGAGAGTTGCAGTATGGAAAGAAGAATTTTACAATATTAAAATTAAATCTTAGCATTGTTCTTAATTTTTTAAACAAAATGTATTTCTAAGCTTTAAGAAAGCAAGAGCAGCCTTAAAAGTAGATGAACAAAGCTGAATAAAATTTTAAATTCAAAAAAGAGTACTGGGTCAGACTTCTCATGCAAACAGGCTTCAGAGCCCTGAATTTACTACATGGATTAAGAATAAATAATTAATCCAGCACAGTGCTATATAAGGAAGAGGACCTCTCTTTCTGCTGCCAGAGAATTGGGATGTATCAGCTTTTTACTGTAACTGAGAATCTTATCCTTTCTTCTATTTCTTTTAGCTGATCAAAGAGAAATTGTTTGATCTTCTTGGCCCAGAGGAGGAAGAAGGAAGCCATGATGAGAATGTGGTAAGTAGACCCACCTCCCTTCCAGGACTCACAAGAGCAGAAGCCAACATATAGCACATTGGCATATTCCTTGGCAGAGTCTATTTTCAATCTGGCAGGGGAGATGACCTTAATTTCTGCACAGAGTGGCACTGGGCCTTGAGTTTATGCTTTCTGCTTCAGTAATTTACCCTCCAATCTCAGATGCAGCAGCTTGTAGTTATCCTTATGCAGAAGGCAAAGTCATTTGCATTTACTCAAAGGGTCCTTTTTTAAATTCACATTGTACAGGTTGACTTCTGGCTTGACAAAAAAGTTCTGAGTGAGCCCTGGAGCAAATGGTCATCTGTTAATTAAATAAGGGATGGGCAGAAGTTAGCTCTGGATAGCTTTACTTCTAGATCTCTAGTTGACTTGCATTGCATTGGCAAGGATTCCACTTCTGCCCTACTTAATGCTACTTAAATGAAGAAACCTTCCAAAAGTTGGATTCCTGAGAGCCATTCAATATTATCATTTTGCACCACTTTGTGATTAGTTCTGATCCTGATTGATTTCATACCATCTTCTATTAGGGCAAGCTAACTCATTTTTTTTTCTGATGTTCCGTTGATTGGAAATTTCCTTTGAATTATTAAGACTCTTCAAAACCTGTAGAGAATACATTTTCCCATTGGCAGAACTCTTGAGTCATCCTGGGTCTTAGGCTCCCTCCCAGCCAATAGAAGTTCCAGTGCTTAGAGCTTGTTTCTCCCTAGAGACATTAGTTAAAATTCCCCTTCTTCTCTTCCCCCCCCCCCCATTTTCAATTGATTGCAAAATTTCAGGCATGGCAACATTTCACCTCCACGCCCCAGAGGAATGGCAGCAAAGCATGTAGAAAGCTTTTGGAAATTTTTAATACTTACTGTTTATTATACATTACAATTTATTTTATTTCTTTTTGCATGGATAATAGCTATACAAGTGTGAGGGGGATTATTGCTCAGTGCATTAGATACCAATAACATGATATTCTTTGGAATCTCCCCTTGAAGGGAAAAGGTGAAACCTGATTTAGCTCTTGATGTTCCCTATATGTTGCCGGCTTTTGAGGCTGACAAACGTGAACATTCAGACAGCTTTGTGAGGGGATTAGAGGAGGTAGAAACATTAGCAATATGGAAATGCTTGAGGAGTACAGGAACAATTAAAATTAGACTTTTTAAATCAAATCCCTGAACTCCAATGGTTACTTAATTCCACCTTCAATTCCAAAATGAGACTCTTCTTACTACCTTCAATTGACTGACCTCATAATCAACAAAATAAGTGCTGCAGATCGGAAGTGTGCCCACATGATTTAAAATGACCACTTTATCTTATTGCTTCAGAAATATTTATTTCAAAATAATTTTATTAGCCTATTAGTTAGAAGTCTGCCTTATTCAAAAGATTTGTCTTTCACTGGGAAGATATCTTATTGTTGGTTGTTTTGCTATTTGTTTAAGTGCATCCTAAAGAAGAAGAGATACATATGTCTCTTTGGTAGGCTATCAAATCTGGTGTACAAAACTCCAGATAATTATTAGATGTCCAGAAATTTTAACTATTATTGGTTGTCTGGATTTTTACAGCCCAGATGCAATATTCCTGCTCCTTTCCCTCCTCTTCTAACAACCTGATTTGTTATAGGCAGGGCTTTAGCAATCTTACAGTTGTCATCATTGCAAGAAAGAAATTAAGAATACCTTAAAAGGTAAATGTAAAGGTTTCCCCTGCCAGTCGTGTCTGACTCTAAGGGGCGGTGCTCATCTCCGACGATTCACAGCCAAGGAGCCAGCGTTGTCCGAAGACGCTTCTGTGGTCATGTGGCCAGCATGACTATGTGCCGAAGGTACACAGAACACTGTTACTTTCCCACCAAAGTGGTACCTATTTATCTACTTGCATTTACAAGCTTTTGAACTGCTAGGTTGGCAGGAGCTGGGGCCAGTAATGGAAGTTCACTCTGTCACACAGTACTTGGTCTCAAACTGCCAATCTTCTGGTCAACAAGCCCAACGTCTTAACCGCTTGGCCACTGTGCCCCTCTAAGCATACCTTATCGGCTACAAAGGGTGATTGTTTTTATTCAACAAAAACAGTGAAATTGGATATTGTAATTTTGTGTATGTCTTATCCGAGAGTAAGTTCTATTGAACTTAACAGAATTCATTTATGAGGAAACAATTGCAACATAATCCAGTCTTTATTTGGGAGTATTTTCAATTGGGTTTAAGAAGGCATGAGACTTTAGACTTTGAAATCCTAAAGAATTTTGCTTTTCAAAATTTTATACTTTCTCCCTCCCCCGGATGAATCCTATTTCAAATTTCAAAGTGTAATTGTTTCCAATATCAAGCTTCATGGATATCTGTCTCCATTTGTTTGTGTGTGTGACTGTGTGTGGGTCTACATGCATGTGCATGTGTATAGGTGTATATATACCTAGCCCAAATTAAATTCTTTCACATTCCATTGATTTTAATGAGATAAATTAAAGAAGTGTTGTAACTCCCACACCAATATGAACAAGATATAAACTTTTTAAATGCATGCGTTCATGCATTTTGGCTCAAATATATGTTGTGTCATTAATAAGCCGTGTCCGTACAAATACAGAATGTGATTCCCTCAGCCATCAAAACCCTTTCTGAATTTTTCCTTGGGGCTTTCAGGATTCACCATTTGAAAATGGTAGGTTGAAACACACTTGTATTTTGAGAACCAACATGTTTAGGCAATTTATTAGGACAACTCAGAAGTTGTAGAATAGTGTGTTAAACAGTAAACAAACACTGGCTGGAATATGGGGGTTGGGAAGTAGCTGGTGTTGAAGCCATCAGCTCTGAATTTTATCACAACTTGAGAAAAAATGTGAGAGGAGTAGCTTAATATAAATGGGAAATCGGCTCTATTTATATCCTTGAAATGCCTATCTTTTTGGCCTGTAAAACCCCATATAGTGATTTTAATAATACCTAGCATTTATGCAATGCAGCAAAGCTCCTACAATATTGTATCTCTGAAAGCTATACCAATACTATTATCTTGGACGTAGATAGCTAAAGCCAAAAGAGGAATGGCTGCCTAAACTATTTAGTGAGCTCTTAATTGAGGTAAGATTTGAAGAATGGATTTGTCCACTTATTCTCCCTTGGTCGTCTTCCCTTTTTCTGTTCACAGAGCACGTGTGAGCCCTTGTCAAACCATTCTGATCCCACGAGCCACACTGTGACAGTCCCACTGCAGACAACACTTGGCACGTTGGAAGAAATTGCGTGCTGACAATGCTTCCTCAGCACTATGGATGGCAGAACCTACAAAAGCCAGGGAATCCTACTCAGGCTCACTAACAGGGTGGGGGAACCACTGAGGAATTCGCTATGCATCCAATTGTTCTCTTTCTCTCTTCTTGCCAAAATCAGTGAAAGATTTCATGGACTCAGTTGCATCAGCCTGTCCTACCAGGATGAGTGGATGAGGATGTAGGAAAGGGCAAGGTTTATCTCCACCAGCGGACAACACATCTCAGTTTTTGAACTGGAGAAGTGTGATGACCAAGGAATCATTCTTTCATAGACAGCCTACAAGTTATACAAAAGAAGCCTGCATGCCAGTCCTTTTGATGGCAGTCTCTCTTTTTCCTTACAAGCCATGTCTCCATTCAACAACTACTCCCTTTTTCTTTTTTCTTTTGCCACAACAAAAGTGGAGGACATGGTACAGACTTTCCTGCTCAAGAGTTTACCATTATTTAACAACATCACTGCTGAATTAAAAACAAGCAATGGTCCATTTCCATTCTTTTTTGTTGTATGCTAAATGTGACAGGGTCTCAAAGTTCTGGTCAAATCGTTGGGTGAGCCAGCTCTTTGATGACCAAGGTGAGCATGCTCAAATAGAATGGTTCACCTTATCTACCATTATAGACCACTTCTTAAATGCAGACACTCACAAATGCACCAGCCCCATTGACACTAGTTAGCCATACAGCTACTGTCTTGTCTAGATTGGTGTGTAATGCAACATGTGTGTGTCCCAGGACTGGGGGAGGTGGGTTCCAGTTACCATTCTGACTTGCCCTGCTTCCTCATTCTTAACAGCACTATTAAAGGTGATCTTGTGGAAGGGGAAAAACTGTCATTTCTGCTTATTCCACCTTTGTGGATGTTTTAATACAACTTAGGAATTATCAACATTAAAAAGAGTAAAGAACAAAATATGTCCTTTTAAGCTATTTATAAGCAATGTTTTAGCAATTTCCACAACAATAACTTTGGTATGTTGTATAAGTCATATGACAGACATTGACTGGGCCCAAATCTTTGATTTGCACAATACATGTAAAATAATCACATAAACTAGATTCGTACAACATATTAAGTCACAACCTGGATGGCTAGTTTATAGTTCAGGGTATGTGGTGCCCAAACCACACATTTTATGGACTATATTTTATCATATCTCTACAATATATTGAGATAGATTATGTGTACATTTCTAGATTGAGTAGTTGGTGAGGCTAAATGGAAACGAAATGCAGAAGATTCAAGCAATTATAATTATGGGGGAGTTATCTGCACATTTGTCTTTTGTGTAGAAACTGATCTGTGTATCATACGCAGAATGTAATAAAATAGCACTTACAAACAATGGCACAGGTTACATTTGGAAGATAAGTAATAGATCATTCATTTTGTGTTATGAATGACGCTATTTATCCTAAAATAAATATGGAGACTCTATGCATATATATCAACCTATGCACATATCAATTGATCAATGAAATATGTAGTATCATATATATATTTATATATATAATGTGAAGTAAAATAAGGTGATCACCAGGATAAAATCATAAACATAAATGTTTACTATACAAAACCAAGCTTTCGTCGGCCACACTACCGACATCGTCAGGGTATAAAATGCTGGATCCAGGAGTCCGTTTTTATGTGGCCGGCTGCCTCTGCGCTTTGACCCTAGATCGGGTCATAGGTCCACTCATTAGCATCGGCTGTGTAGTTCTTAAAGGGGCCGTTTCTAAAGTTGTCCTCTCCTCTCCAATTGCTGCTGTTTTCTTTGTGCGTGTGTGGGTGCCTGGAGATCCGCTGTTCATCCGCTCCCAGTCGTTCCTCCCCACCCCCTCATTCATCTTAATTTGCCTCTGTATTGCTGTGCTATCTAGCATGTGTGCTTCAAGCTCTATTCTTCTGTTTGCCAGACCTGCTGGTGTGTAAACTCCTGGGGGTTGGCCGTCTCGTTGTTCCTGTTTCTTGTTGCCCCCTCTCTCACTGACGGGTGAGCTCCTGTGTGTGTTAATGGGTTGCTAACCGGGCATGTCTTTGGGATGGTTCCACTACTTGTTGCCCTCATTGCCCCCTCGGTACATATATGGGAGCGCAGGAGATACCCATCCCGTTTGCGCTCACTATTACTCGCTGTTCTCCCATTGATCGGGGCCGTAATTCTATTGCCGAGTCATTCACAAGTCAGACTCTATTGATTCACATCCGGTAGCTGTTGGTGGACCCGGTGGTTATGCCCAGATCCTCCATTACTTTTCTAGTGCGTGTGCAAGCACCTGGGGGATGGCTGTCAAGCTGTCTCTGCCCCCTATCTCTCCCCCCCCTCTCATTTTGGAGCGATCTCTCAAACTGCATTTCAAACGCCCTTAGGGCTGTCATCTTCCCCTATGGCTGCCGTTGTCTTGCCCATAGCTCTCCCCAATCCTGCAAGGAGCAGCTGTTAAGATCTTCCTGCTCACTATTCTCCCCCCCCCCAGAAAAAGGAGAGGGGGGCAGGGAACATTACAACGAGATAGAAACAGGCAAGACTGGAGTGACAGGGCTATGGGTGAGCAGTAACAGCTGCTATGGGAGAGGATGAGAAACTAACGAGGTGTCAAGATCAGGTGTGGAAAACGGATGCACGGAAGCAGCTCGGAAGGAGAGACAAAAAAAAGGGGGAGAATAGTGAGCAGGAAGATCTTAATACAACCAATGGGCCGATTACGCGCTCGAGAAGCCGGGCGCAGAGACAGGTAGCTATATAGGCAAGCTTCCTAATCACCTAGCATTCCAACCCTGATGACGTCAGCAGTCAGGCCGATGAAAGCTTGGTAACTCTTTTACTTACAAACTTGTCTGTATTAAACAAGTTTGTTTTATTTTTATCCTGGTGTTCGTTTCTTCTATATTTTATTGATATGTGTTTTCCCAGGATTCGCATTTTTAATGTTATTAAGTATATATATATATATATATTCGTAGATTTTCACGGATACAGGTATGCAGGTCTTGGCGTATTTGGGTCTTTTCCCATGTAAGATTGAGAGTATCTTGGCGACGTTTCGATGAGGTTAGGTCAGGAGGTTACAACGCTAAAGCCCAGGATGTTGCAACACAGAACTCAGGATATCACTACACTAGATCTCAGGATGTCATCACACAGCTCATTACCCAGGTCGTTACAACACAAAAGACTAATGGGCACACAGCCAGCACCTCAGCTACTCAGGATGTTACGAAACAGCTGAACAATCCGCAAACAATAACTCCAACACAGCCAACCAACCCACCTACAGCAACAAAGCCAGCATTCCACATACCCCCACCAATATTTATAGAGAGACGGCAGCTCCGATCACACTTTGCTTGCACAAGCACGAAGCCGAAGACCCCAGCCTGAAGATGACGAGTGGGACCTCGTCGAAACATCGCCAAGATACTCTCAATCTTACATGGGAAAAGACCTGAATACACCAAGATATATATATGTGTGTGTGTGTGTGTGTATGTATGTATGTATATATATATATATATATATATATATATATATATATATATATATATATATATATATATACACACACACAACTTTATATATATATAAAGTTGATCAATGAAATATGTAGTATCTTTGCCACTCAACAGACTGTAAAAGTAAATGCCCTAAACAAGAATGCAGTTATCATTGTCTGCATCTTCTGCATTTTATTTTCTTCCAACCACAGTGTTTTCTATTTCCACTGATGCCTTCAGTTAAATATGTGCATATCTGACTCTCGCAATATACTGTAGGTATCTAATGAAACAGACTTACTCTGTAAAATCTAATGTCACATTGTTTTAGCATTTTGGTTGCTTTTATGTCAATTTTTTTTCCTGAGCAGTCCTGCAGCCAGACACAATGAAGTTACTGTTAACTAATCTTTGTGAGGTCCACTACACCCACCCATGTGGTTTTATTATTTTATTTATAAGTTTCAGCAGGTCTACTCTGAAGCATCTTTTAAATAGTTCAAAGTTCCATAATGACTGCTCAGTGAATATATGATCAATAGACAGTGTTAACATATACGTTGAGCCTTCCTATACTATAACCCACTTGGAATGCAAATTATTTCCAGGGAAGAATAAAACTAGCATGCTTATGATGATCTCACCAAGAGAGGTTGCAAAACAACTTCACTAGAAGTGTAGGTGTGGCCACCAGCCAGAGGTGAATTTTATTCCAGTCAGAGGTCTGGAGGAACCTATTAACTATGATATATGCAACTTTATTGCTAGAGCTGTGAACATTTATTTATGGGGTGGAGAAGGGACTAGGGAGCAAAAAGAAAGCAGATGCCGAGAAGTGACATCATTATGTACTGTAAACACTGAATGACATCCTGGGATCAGGCATCAAGATGAATACAAATAGGCAATGGTGGCATTTGCATAACAATGCATCTTTTTGGCATCATGTTTCCCTGCGAATGTTACTGTCTCTGCCTTTAAATGTCCCACAGGAACATCACTTTTAAGCAGAGAAATTACATCATCTCATCTCCAAATTAACAAGATGAAGACGAGGCATATATCTTGAAACTAGGCAGGGGGGTGGATATAAGACGGAATACATAGTTACATGCTTTTAGCTTTATATCTAGAATATTATTCAACTTTTTTTGCTGGCAATCAATCTCTAGTTCAAGTCTTTGCCTTAATTCACTCCACAACAAAATAAAATGGTGGGGATGGCAAGAATGGTCCATTCTAGTGAAAGGGCCTGAGGATACTTTCGGATCATAAAAGGTATCCTAAAGGCCAGAGGCATATGGTGTGGGATAGCAACATCAAGATGCCTCCTTGCTGCCACTTTCCCTCTAGTGTAGTGTTTCTCAACTTTGGCATCTTTAAGACTTCAATTCACAGAATCCCCCAGCTAGCAAATATTGCTCTGGTGCTTTGCCCATGACAGTTTCATAAGTGGATCTTAATAGCCAATCAAAGGATAATCTGGTTAGTGTCATAGTGTTTATAGAAGTTTCCAAGGATTTTCTGTGCAAAAGTAGCCTGGCAGTCCCCTACTCTGTCTATGGCCCTCTCCTCC